TTTTTAAAATAAAACAAAATATACATCGTTTTGAAATCAGTTTATTATAAATCAACAGGACAAAATATAAATTATTAGTAGTATTTCCCTTACTAATTATCAACAATATCACATTGATTTGAGAATTTGGCTTATTATCTTATTATCTAGTATGTAAATTGTAAAAAACTAAGTAAATAAAATAGAAACAACGAAAACACTCCCCTCACATACTCGTATACAAAATTATATGTGAGGAGATTTTCGATAAATATCATAATATAAATAATTTAAACCGTAGGTACTGAATATTGGTAAATATAAAATAGCAAGTGTTAGAGGGTGTTTCTTTCATTTTTTGCGAAGTTTGTGGCGGAAAGCTGACGAAATAGGCATAACAAAATCTGTACTATTTAGAAAACATATAAAGAGGTGCGTTGTTTTGGCACATTTGCCCAAAGAAGCTGTTGAGAATGGTTGGTTGTATATTATGTCTCAATGTCCGAATGATAAAAATATTGTAAAATTTAATGATTATTTTGTAAGAACTTGGTTGAATGAGACTTCCATTTTCGCAGACAAATGGTCTTGTAATTTTAGCCAACACCGCACTACGAACATGGTTGAGAGCTGGCATTCTACGGTAAATAAAAAAATTAATAGCAAACCCAAAAGTATTGCACATTTTTTGACCATCTTAAAAGAAGAAGATAATTATTATCAGACTTTATACTTAAAGAAGTCTAATATAACTGTAAAATGTAAAGAAACTTGTGCTATTGACGAGCACATTACCAACACTGTTAACGAATTTATCCATGGGGTTATAATTATGTATCGAACTTTTGATCTTGTGATTTTTGATTTAATTTAGCATAGTCTGTTTATTTTAACGTTTGCTATAAAAATCATTTATAACAAACCATGATCTGTGATTTTATAGTCTGTGATTAGTTTTATTAGTAGGTCGTCAGTAATAACTTAGCCAATTGATGAATCTACTTATTGATAGTGTTTAGCGTTTTTTGTAAAAATCATTTACAACCATATCTGATCTGTGATGTGATTTCTATGGTTCCTAAGATTGATTTTATTAGTGAGCAATAATAAGTCAGTTTGTTGTCAATTACTATGTTTAGCTTTACTATTTTATATTTACCAATATTCAGTACGGTTTAAATTATTTATATTATGAGATTTATCGAAAATCTCCTTACATATAATTTTGTATACGAGTATGTGAGGGGAGTGTTTTCGTTGTTTCTATTTTATTTACTTAGTTTTTTACAATTTACATACTAGATAATAAGATAATAAGCCAAATTCTCAAATCAATGTGATATTGTTGATAATTAGTAAGGGAAATACTACTAATAATTTATATTTTGTCCTGTTGATTTATAATAAACTGATTTCAAAACGATGTATATTTTGTTTTATTTTAAAAATCAAATTTTATAAAGTTTCTTATACATTTATAGTAGGTAAGTACCTAACTAAATTAAATTTGTTATAACGCTTTTGTAGCTGACTATACATTAAAACATCAAATTATATAGACGCGCGAGTTGACGACAAAAAAAGTAGGCAAAATCGAAAAGTGCCAACTCGCGCGCGCTCGCGAGATTCGCGCTCGCCAGTTGACGATTAAGTCATTATTTTTGGTCAGTTATGCCTCTTTGGCCGAGTGGTCGCAATTGTGCGATTGCCGGGCAAGGGGTCTTGAATTCGATTCACGAGTTGGGCAAAGTATTACTGGGTTTTAAAAAAAAAATCTCAGTAGTAGTACGGAGTCTGGAATTGTGCCCGGTATATGGCAATAGGCTCACCCCGTATTACATGGGACGCATAACATAAATAGTGAAAAGTGGGTGTTACATTATACAGTGGTATAATGTGTAACTCTTCCTACCCCTTCAGGGAAAAAAGGCGTGATGTTATGTTATGTTATGGTCAGTCATAACAAAATACCCGATTACTAAATGATGGTTGCACATCACTAATATGCATTAGGGATGTTTAACCAAATAAAAAGGGGATTAGCGACACTTTCTAACATAATGAGGATAATCTCTCTTCCTGTTGTGACAAATAGCCGGTACCCTGCGCATACGCACACCGCATGAAACCGTTTATTAGGGATGACATCCATTGTATTAAGGATTATGTATTTTAATGACGTGTGACAAAAATGCATCATATTTTGTTTGCGTTTTTTATCTCGTCTAAAGAAATACGTTTGCAATTGATTCAGTTATATTATAGTAATCTATTATTTAATTATCAACAATTTAATAATGGCGACTTCATTATTCGACATCACCATTAACAATAATGCGTTTCTATTTTACGGTGATTGTTAATCGTATCGGCAGAGCAATTACACTAATTAGTTTTTATTAGTTTCACAGTGCATACTGCATACTATACGGACTGCGAAATCGTACCTTATAAATGAGCTAATTTTCTAATGAATTTTAAAACGACATACTTACGCGAATCTGGTATCGATGTCCATATTATACAATAGATAATAATAATAGATATTTGACATTTCACACTAAAATAACGTGATACGCATAATTAAGTCGTACCCTAATGCATTAGGATCTTTAAGCCAGTTAATAAAACGTTTGAATCAAACTTGCCGTTCACTTTGATCACCGGGACAGTCACTCTTGTCAAAATAATGAAGTGACATGTCGTAAAAACGTGACAGTCACCGACCGTAGACAAATGAGTTTGACTAAGACCCGGATTATATCGGGTTTGATGTGTTACCCCTTTCAAATTCTATATTCAAAGGGTTCAAACGTATTCCAAGGACCATAGAACGCAGATTTGTATTTTTTTTTTCATAGAAGCGAGGGAAATTGTAAAATTGTGGGTTAAGTGGCATTGTTTGACAACCCTAGCTAAGTTACGTTCGGAAGTACACGTTCTATGCTTCCTGCTTGTCTATTTTTTACACGAAAAGGGATGAATGAATGTGAAATTAATTGAAGGGACGTACGTGTAAAAGGGTTACAGTTATTGGGGCAAACTTGATCCCTTTTCTATTATATTTTGTTAACTTCTTCAAGAAGTCATTGAAAATAAAGTTAATAAGTTTAGTTGCAATACATTGGCCAAATTGATATGCCGTTCACGTTTAATACAGAGCTATATCGATTAATATTTATATAAAACTTCTTTTTAGCTGCTTTCAATAAGTATTTCACTTAACCACTTATGAAGCTCTTAACATAAATTTATTAATTACACACTCGATCAATGTGATACTGATCATTTGGTGTGGATACTTCGGAACTTTTCTATGAAATATTGGCGACTATCATATCACTTTTGATGGATGTTTTTATCGAGAAATAGTTATAAATTCTTCTAGTCTCAATTTATAGTGGAGGAAATTCATAAAATAATAAATTCGATTTTTATTAGTTTTTATTAGGATAGCAAAGTCGATGCGGATTTTTATTTATACGGGAATGCAACGCTTGGAATGCGGGGTCAGTGAACTTTGTAGCGGGAACATGGGGTTGGTACTACGGGATTACCTATTTGTTCCCAACCTTACGTAAAATAACAATACGTACAACAAAACGAATTTCCAACCCTTGTTAGTCTGACGGAACCCTAGCTTTATTTTAAAATTTAGTCCGGTAGGCCATTTTGACGCGCGGCTCGTCAATATTGCCAATGTAAATAAAATAATAAGTCCTCCTGTTGCCATGTCGATAAATGATAATATAACCAATTTAAGTGTGTACAGTGTATTTAATTTACACATATCCGTGTATTCAGCTGGTGTTTTGGTAACATTGTGCCAATTACACAATTAATACTTAATTGTATGTAACTCGGACAAAGTTTTCCTCCTAAAGTTTGCGCGTTTTATATTTAATAACAATAACGTGAAATACCTACTACGTTTGTACCAGACTTCAATTTAATATAACTGAGATACCCAACTAAATCATTGGTGGTAATTTCATTATATTACTTATTTAGGTACTTACAAAATTACGTATTTCTGCCTGAAACATGATAACAAATAATATTGTACACTTGAATGTACTATTATTACGTTTATTTAAAATAAATCTTACCAACTACAGAAAAATTACATACTTAGGTAATTCTCATTTTTAACGCTCGTAGATCTACCTACTTATTTAATTTTCTTCTACTGGCTATTGCAGCTGTAATTTTTATTTAAAATTTTATGACATCCTTTGAATACCGACCATGGGATCATACCATCACAGAGTGGTAAAGCTTCGCAGAAATATACAAATGCAACGTACCTATAAAAAAGGCTCGTTAATACAAGCATCTGGGGTCAAGACCTTCATCTCGGTTAAGGAACGCGCTACACCTGTAGTTACAGCTGCGGGACCTCACAAAAGCTAATTGTTTGCTGTGTAGACGTCCAGTAAATAATACGTGGCAATTCATCAGAATCGCTCAGGTATTTCTGCTTCGCGCCATAATCCGCCGCCTCAGGAATGTTGACCGTCTGGCTTCGATATCTGCAGCTGCTAAAAAACAAAGCGACACAATCTCCCCGTAGCGAGGCGCGCAGCCGAGTGAGGCAAGCGGTGACTACATCTAGCCGTAGTCGCCGTGAACGGTTCGCCTCCTCATTCCTCGATACACGACTTTTCGACGGACCAACACACACTCGCAAAACTGCCACACACACATCCCTACTTTCGTGTTCTCTGAATGCCGCTGCGCTGATTTCCTTCTTCAAGCGACCCCTCCACCCCTCGAGACAACCGCGCTCACCGAAATTCTTCTGCAAAATTCTACTTCAAATTCATCCGAAACATATAAAAAATGTTATCATGGATTCACTACAGTAAGTTAAGCTTACGTTTAGATAATATCCAACCAGGATATGTACGTATTTACATAGAATTTCGTGAATGACATCGAATTAGCCGGGACGCGCGGGTGAGAGGGGCGCTACCGCATCACCGCGCCGCCGATCGCGAACGCCGCTCGACGACCGCTAGTCGCTACTAGAGATGGGTCGTTGACGGTATTAGCGTGAACGAAACTAGACCGTTCATTTTCGTTCATCGACTAGTCGATGAACCGGTTCAAAATATAGACGGTTCACGGTCTCGTACATTATGAACGATGGGTCGTGTCGACAAGCGAGCGACTGACGCGACGCGACGTCGAGTGGACTGAATGTAATACATTGATTGTACTATGTAAACAGTTCTGCGTTCGATGTACCTGCCTATTGCACTGGTTATTGTAATTAGAGAAACCATCGTTTCTTGATCTTCCCTTCATACTTTTTCCAGGCTTAGGACTGGCTGAATAAAATTCAGGCGTATTTAGAAGATCAACTGATTTTATTTACATTGATTGATTGATTGTTTCCTTTTTTTATATATTTTTTTTAAATTTTTGTCTTTTTTATTTTTTTTATATATTTTGTTTTTATTTTCATATATTTTTCTTACTTTTTTTAATTTGTTTATTATTTACAATCAAATCAATTCTTCATGTATACATATATTATTTGGTTTCAAAGCCCTTAAACCTTTCATTTGTAGAATTGACATTTATGAACATTATTTGTTCTACTTTACTGGTGGTTAATCTTGTGCGTCTTTCATTTAAGATAAGTCCAGTTTTAGAAAACATCCGCTCGCAAGGAACGGATGTGGCCACTATGTTGCACTGCGTAACATATATCCTTTTTAAATTAGGGTACACATATTGGTGTTGTTTCCACCATTCCAGAGGGCATGTTAAATTACCTGCCTGATCTTTCCGTGGCAACAACTCATCGGAAAGGTACATGTCAACTTCCTTTATCGCTCTCGAAAGTGGCGTTCCTTGAGCAACGCTCGTTGCTACCATCTTGTCAAATATTTTCCATGGGCTAAACTCTTCATCGTGATCGGTTTCTGTTGTTTCGGGAGTAACTGTAGGTGTTGCAGCGTTTTCTGACATACTGATCATAGAGGCCACTAATTTTCGGACCTTTTCTTTAGTTTTCATGGCTTCGTTGGCGTCCGAAAAGCCCTGCATTTTGAAACGCGGATCCATGAATGTGGCCAAAGCAAATGTTCCACTTTGTTCAATTAATTTGAACCGCTCTGCTAAACCTCGCTGAAGAAGCAGTACAGTATCGCGTGCGTCTGATACCAGATCAGAACGGTCTAGCAGCTTCTGACATGCTTCTTTTAAGCATCGTGTGACAATAATAACCGAACTTCCTGTTATGTATTTTTCTCCGCTCATGGAAGAAGTTATTTCTTCAAAGGGGCGCAATATTTGACACAGTTGTTTATACAAAGTCCAGTCATCAGGATTAATGACTGGAAGATGTCTATCGAAGAAACCCAACGTTGCCCGCATAGCATCTTCCAGCTCCACGAAACGCTTTAACATGAAATATGTGGAATTCCACCGAGTCTCAACTGCTTGGATTAAACGTTTAGGTTCTAATCCTAATTGAGCCTGGTATTTTTGTAGCCTTTCTGATGAGACAGTGCTTTTTTTCACATGTGCTACTACACGTTTAACCTTGTCAATCTGTGGCTTTATTTGATGCAGTGCACTCTCGACCACTAAATTAAGGCTATGAGCATAACAGCCAAAGTGCTTCCAGCCTAAATTTTCTTTGACTGCCTTGACAACGTTGGCTGCGTTGTCTGTAACCATGAAATTAACTTTATGTTTTAAATCATATTTATTTATTATTTTCTCAATTTCAAAGGCGATATTTTCTGACGTATGATGACCTTCAAAATGACAACAACCTAGAAGTACAGTCTTAAATTCTAGGTAATCCGTCAGGTAGTGCCCGGTCAGTGCGAGATAGCTCTCAGTTTTCAATGACGTCCACATGTCGGCAGTTAAACAAATGCTGTGGACTTCTTTTTTTAATTGATTTTGAACAGTATCAAAAAGCTTTGTATAAGTTTCCTGCATTATGGAGTTGGATAGTGTTTTTCTGGTGGGCAGTTGGTAACCGGGTATCCACCGGCAGAATTTACGGAATGCACGCTCCTCAACGATGGAAAATGGATGAAAACTGTCCACACAAAGATCTAATAAATCATGATTTATTTGTTTTTTTTGTTCATTACTTATCTTCTTATTTAGATAAGTATCCATAATTTTTTGGCGTTTTGCAAGAGACTCCACTTTATCCTGAACATGGGTACTGGTACTGGTGCTGGCGGTGCTAGTGCTAGGTACGCTACATGTCGAACTCGCACCCAAGTCACCCAATACATCCGCTTGTTGCACAGTCAGGTTTGCTGGCGGTTGATTTATTAACTGGAGTCCGGAGAAAACGGAAATATGTTTTCGTTTAAGGTGACTTTTTAAATTTGCGGTAGAAGATTTGTATGCAAGTTTTTCCTTGCACACATTACAAATTGCTTTCCCGCTAGCAGCATCTTTTTCAAAATGGTGCCACAATTCGCTTCGGCCTGACATTATTTCTAGGTATGTCCTTTTATTTTACACTGTAATATAACTATTACCCTAATATCTAAATATACACTACACTAATTTACTACTGGTCTTCAGAGTGGAAATGATCACAGGGCGGGACAGGGGTTTCAATAACGCCACGGATTTTAGCACACAAACGTATAATTATCGGCTCAAAGGTTCAGTCAACAGTTAACACTTGCCACACTACACTATGTAACAATGTTCCTTAATAAAAACTTGCCCAAAACATTGAAAACAAACAATAATAAAGATTTTTGGCGCGACACGCGATCGTATGTCGGATCGTCGGACTGTTACCGGACTCATTCGTTCAGCTTCGGCGCTGCTCGGGTTCGTTCGGTCGCGCGGCCGGCGGAGACTGACGGGGCGCGCGGGGATACCCGAACGTTAGTTGCTAACCGAATGATATTTTTTGAATGTCGCGCGCTACACTATTTATTTACAGTTACAGAGTACACACGAAATTAATGCAAAGCAAAGTTCACTATACGCACAAGCTTCGATCAACAAGACGAATACGACTAGATAAAAAACAAAAATAAAATACGTCGCTCGCATTGCAAATGTAGATGTTTACATGCGTGTGCACGTTTCTTAGAAAAATCGCTACATTTCCTAGAAAAACGTTGCCATTTGAGTGACGTATTTTTGTTCCATATCTAGTCGTATGGTTGATCGAACCGAAAACTTCAGTTTATTATAAACCTTAATGCTTGAAGATAAAGTTTAATTAATTAGTTTTACAAAAAATATTATTTAAGTCCTTTTTTTAGAGGTACGAGCTCGAAATTTAAAATTTCGCTTGAAAATAAAAAGTCATTAGTATAGAAATGTTTATTTGAAAATGAAACTTAACCTCTAAGTAATAAAATTAAAAACTTTTTGTTTACAATTATTGTGTGCTTATCTGTCGTAGTTCTTGGTATTAGGCGTCCATGGTATTTTAGGTATTAGTATTGTCCGTCGCGTCGTCGACTCATCGGAAGTTGTCTACGCATTGAACTAGTCTATCCGACAGACGTGAACAGTTGATACGTTCATGGACCGTCGACCGGTCTATTGGACCAGTCCGTTCATTCAACGCCCACCACTAGTCGCTACTCGCAGCGCGGTTCGTGCAATACGTTCATCTAGGTTGTAGTCGGTAGTCGTGTCCACGGCGCCCATCGAATCGCACGCGCGGCTCTCCTTAGAACCGGCCGGCTCCCGAATAATGTTTCAGTGCTTGACAAACTCAATCGGAGGTCTCGGAAGAAGTATCGTATTTAATAATTTACACTGTATAACCGATCGCATATTCTCAGTGAGTGTTACGCAGTGTGTACGGAAAAAACTTTGTCGAAGATTCTGAAGAATCTTGTGTAAAATTGTGTAATACACCGGCTGCCGCCGGATTGCGTTTTGCACAAAACTTTTTGGTAAGTGTTGAATTTTGTTCGTATTAATTTTTGCTATCAATTATATTATGCAGCATTACATAAAGTTTCAAATGTAAGTGGGTACTAAATACTTAGGTACTGTGCGCGCGGGGCGTTGCCGGCTAACTCCTACCTATACTATGGGTTTAATGAGTTTTTCTGCGAATTGGCAGCGCCCAAATTCTTTACCTTATTGTTGCGGGAAAGCAACTTACAATCAGACTACCTGTAATTGTGGGTAGTTGTTGTATTATAAATATAATATTATCAAGAAAATATTTTTTGCAAGTTGATTAAAATTTTTTAAAGTCAGTATCGGTACCTACATCCTTACCAACGGTAGGTCTGTAACCTACTTATTTTTACCGATTTTTTTTCTAGAATCAGTTTTTTTTTTGTTAAATATTGTAGGTTCTTCTCAAGCTCACTTTTAATTTTTCCATTATTTTCTACAAAATTTGGCACAACGAAAATACATCTTGGTAAAATTAATAATTAGCCAAGGTCAAAATTTTCGAACGATTATTTTAATAAATATTGCGAAATAATTATTTCTAACTTTTAGTTTGTGTAATATTAAAAAGTTACTACAACTACCTACTTATTGGTGCTATGCAGATAAAAGTAAAAACAAATCTATGTAGGCATTGTAGGTATTGATAATGTTTTGTATCGAATTGCTTTCATTGTGCAATATTTATGAAATTTATTTACAAACATGAAAACAAGTATTTCATAAGTGTTCTATTACTTTGGCAACAAGTAATTCGATAGATAAAGTGTATAACAATATTATTGGCGTGCATGTAAAATAAATAAAAATGTTCGCGTAAATTGTACCCACTTTCATTATTTTATGTGAATGTTAAAAATACGCTATAAACTGCTTGTCATTAGATATAAGTCCTACTATCTGCCTCCGCTTTTTAAGTAAATCTGTGATGTGATAATTCTTGCAAGCTTTTATTTTTCACTAACTTGCCCTAATTTTACTAACCATGCCTAAGTTCTTGTAAACTTTCAATTACTTTAAAAAACTGTTTCTCTTGTTGTGCGGTTAAATTGGCTAAAATATTTAGGAAGGGATATATATTTCGAAATATTTTCTTATGTATTTATAATGTAGGTATTTATTACTTTCGTAGATATTTGAAGGTAGAAAGGTGAAAAGTGAATTAATAAACTAATCTATCTTTAATGTGCTAAGTTATCAATCCAAAAAATAATAATCAAAGTGCCACTAACAAAATTATGAATCACTGCTGTAGTAGGTATGTCGCGTGCATTGTATTGAATGCACAAATTAGCGGGAAAACAACTCGTTGATTTGCATTATTATTAGTAAACACTCATTTCGCGCCGATCTGCGCTTGTAAACAAAAACAATTTTACGGAAATCTTTATCTCAACTCAAGTTGAGCGATGCACGCAAAAAGTTGGCGGGATTAGTGATGGGACCGCTCTCGTTCAGGTAAAGAGAAAATAATAAAAAAATGGCGGGGGTGGGTCTCAGGACAATGACTAATTGTTATTTCTTAAAAGTGGGATAGGGCCCAAGGCCGATGTACTGTTTAAAATTGTTTGGTTTCGTATCCAGACTTCAGTCTAGTTTCGGGCACCGCAGTGGACACTTCCTCCTTAGTGACACTTGCTTATAATTATCATTGTGCTGTTTCGGTTTGTGATTGTTTGTAAATAACAGGGTGCTCTTCTCCTGTAGCGACTAAATATTTTGTGATTTTTAAAAATTTTTGGTGTTATTGAATAACAGTGAATTATTTTCGTGATTTGTGAACTTTGAAAATAATTAGTTATTGATTTTATTTATTCAATATCTATCTACAACAATTATGAGGTACTTTTGTTTTATTAATCTGGATTTTAACACAAACATTTAAAACTAAATTTATTTTATTTTATTTTGTCTTTTATATTTTTTTAATTTTGTATTTATTTTTATTGACTTGCAAATTTTTCTTAAACCATCACACTTGATTTAATGCATGAAATTAATTTAAATCATTATTAATTTTAAAGCTCGCACTAGTTTTTACAATTTTAAATATTTTATTATTTATTAACATTAGGTTCTTATTGTTACAGACTGCGTGCGTTGTCCTCATCGCGCGCATCTTCCCTGTGATAAGAGGGTCCTGTGATATCGACGAGTTCGACTTAGCTTTAAAATTAGTTAGTGTTTAGAAATATAGAATTAAAAATGTCGCCACCGTTAGACTCATTCGTTCAATTTGACATCTGGGAAGCCTTGGACGAAGACTCTGTTCGGTTGACACAGACTTCAGAATTCTGGACTCAAGTTCAATATGAAGCAGATGGATTGGACATACTCCCTCCAGCCAACTTTTCAGACCCGCTACAAGAAAGCGATGAAGACTGGAGGGTAATGGAAACACAAGAGGAAGAAGAACCACACAAAGAAAATATTGTACACCATGATTGTATGTGGGCTGGCTCTTGTGCAGATTTAGTACATCCAGGAAATACATTTGTCCCCAGCGATCCGACTACAACACCAACCACACCAGGACAAAGTCTTCTTCGAAGAGATATGTCTCCATCAAGACCTGAAACTCCACCATCAATAGATGGCGATGAACCGCCACAGTTCCGTCATTCGGTAGATGTCGCTGGTACAGCTCTACGCCTCTTGAGAGACTCGGCTGTGGTAGCAGCCGACCATTCCTATACCCTGGCTCGGCGGCACTTGGACTACCTCGGCGTGCAAACACCCTCTGACTCATGTGAATCAGGTTAGTACTTCATTCTGAATCATGCATTTTTTTATTTAAACTAGATAATTATTCTACGTTACATATCTCTAATTTAATGTGGACCTTCGTGAAAATCTCATTCAAAATGTCAGTGGCAAAGTTACGATTATTATCATTTAATCTTTAAAGTGTTGTCGCTTTGATTTGAAATTCAAATGGATGATGTTAGGGCCTCTTTTGCTTATTGGGAAGCCACTGATACGCCGGCGACGATCGGTGACCTTAATAACAAATTCGATATGTTTACTTTTTGTTTCTCACTACGATTATTTTCGATTTTATTATTACGTACAAGAAGTAGCTATGGTTACTAATTGTGTCCGGACATACATTATTTAGTTCAGAATATTTTATTATATCTAAGTACTATAATATGAACAAATAAAACCAAGTACCTAGTTGGGTCAAGTGGTTATATCAAATTTAAGCTTAAAATACTCTATTTCACAAAGTCGTAAGATGTTTCTCTAAGTATTCGCAAAGTTGGGTTGACCGGGAATGTCGGCAGGACGCAGGCGCTGAATGTGAGCGCGGGAAACTGCGCATATCGACCGCTATCCCGCGTCCCCCGCCGCGTCTAGACGCACCCGCTTTTCCGCTCTTCCGGAACCTTCGTCTATTGCGACCTTGAACGCCTCAACCTTCCTTAATGTCAGATTGCGCAACGTTGTAGCCGGCCTCTCATCTCCCGGGAATGACATGTTTAAATACAATTAGAATTAAAGTTGTATGTAAACTAAGTAAAGGGTCTCGCGCCGTGTCACGGGCTTAGACGGAACTAAGGTCATAAGTACATCGACCGAAACGTTCCGACCTTGATGCATCCTCCAATTGCAATCGGCGCTTCCCGCCGGCGGTGCAGGGTTATCATACTTATATTTATTAAATTTATGGATTCGATCTACAAAACTTGATTACTTTATATATTTATTTTCGGTATATATTTTGTTCCTTAATAATATTTTTGTAATTTATAATTTGAGGTTGGTGTTTATATAAATAGTATTCGATCATGATCAACAATGTTAATAATACTATGCACAGTAGCAATTTAGTTATCATCGATAACAGTGGGTAAGGTCGCGATGAGCATGTTTGATTTGATTCAATCGGCCGCGAACGATTGTTTACATTTTAACTTGTTGCGTAGCTTTTGGATGTAAATTAAATAATATTGTCGTCTTTCATAATTAAATTAACAGTAAGCTAAGTACAAAATGAAGTAACCGATACACGGGCTCCCTACACTCAGCAATCTCGTGTCTAGTCCGTTACTTGTGTAAGAATGCAGTGGAATGAAATGGAATCTCATTGAAGTGTAGCTTGCTCGGCTTGCTGGACCGGTTTGAAACTCGGTATTCTCATGTCCAGCTTCGCCGGATGACAATTTGATAGACAGCGTCTTAACAATCGTGATAGAACATCAGTCGGCAAGCGCCTTTTATCAGATAAGAAAGAATATCATTATAGATAGTTACCTTCTAAAATCTAATTACGAATTCAGTGTCTGATTTAAAATATGTTTTTTTTTATAAAAATTAAAATGAATAAAGTGATAAGAAAAAAATCACGTAAGTGTAGAGTACATGTTTCACATCACTACTGTACGCGGCGCAAAGAGTTTACGACGGGCGACGCATGCGCGGTTTTATCGCTTCGTACCTACGCCACGCAGCCAACCGTACGGCCGTAGTTGTCACATTTTCGCGCCATTTTAGTTAGTAACATAGCTATGTTGCTTACTAACTTTTAAATGACTACTTCTTGCTACTAATTTTCCTCGTACCTAATTATAGGTACATAATATTTCTGATAATTGAATTAACTAGTCGAGATAACTACCTATGTTTCAACAGTGCGGGTGGTTTTGACCTGACGCTACTATCTTGGCAGATTGCACAGTCTTGATTAATAAATCTTTACTCGAATGTAGGCCACTGGTTTAGCTATGAATTGTAAGTTCCTTTAAGGGGCAATTTAGGACGCAGAGATCCGGTTTGTTGGGCGCCCTAAACATTACAGTATCAATCAGTGAGCCAAGGCTATGTTCTAGTTTTAAAGTACAAGAGGCTGAATGTGCACTTACTTAAACCTTCATGTTATATTCTAACTTGTCTATGTCTAAATACATTTGGAAGATTCGAATTGGCTATGGTTTCAGAAATAATCAGACAGAATGAAATGTCAGTTTCCCGCCATCCGCCATTATTGCAATTCAGTCATTCATTCTTATCAGACAGGTTCGCGTGCAATATTGTATTACCATTTTTCTTTAGTCTTAGAAGAAACATTAATCGTGTCGCCAAGCGTAATAATAATAATTCAAAGGCCTCGAACGCGTAGTAAAGCAATTTGCGCGGTTTATACTATGTATATAAATATCATAAGTAGCTATATATAGGTATAACTGTTATATAGCTACCTCCATATTCTTCACGCGCTGTGGTAATTGTTAGGAATCCACAACTTGCTTATAAATTGACAGTTGCTTGTAAAGGAATTTGCGCGCGAATTTGCATTCTCTGGTACCTAGTTTTACCTAAAAAAATCTGAGCAATGTGTGTAAAATACTTTAAAATGAATGCTCTACTTCTGTCGGTATGTCCAAGTACCTCACCGAGTGATAGTTGACACTACACTGCCCTAAATACTGAGGCCGGTAGTTTAACAGATATTTAGACTAACCTAGCCTTGCGCCGCCCGCCTAGTTACAGAGCCTGGCCCACATTTGATCTTAATACTAAGTAGTTGCTTGTATGATTTATATTCAATAGCGCCGATGTTAAATCAACTCCAATGACAGTTTGCACAACTAGATTATGTACCTACTTACATGAAAGTCGAAATTAATTTTAATCGTATTGTAATGGTTCGATTCGACTGGTAATAAATTCAATGCTAGCGAAAGTCTTGTTCGTCTATATGCGCATAATATCAACTTGAAACTACTCGTGATAAAGATTCAGATATTCAAGTTCAAGCTAATGGACTAATGTACTTACAAATACACACTTCAATTAAAAGTACATTAACAGCTATTTAATAAGGTAAACAAACAAATGAAGTGGTTGTTAAACGCTTCAGTGATCGCAACGATCACAAACGATAGAGAAAGTTTTATCTGTAAATATTTCGGCGCGAATCGCAGCACTAGGCCAGTAGGGCAGTGTAACGAAAAATAATAATATTAAATAGCACTTTATCAAGCAGCGATAAAGTAATTTCACTGGTCGATCGGCATGCATGTACATACGTAGTGGAAAGGACCTTGGGCCTTATCGACACAGAATATGCACTTAGATATTTAAACAATCGGTATGAATGTGTTGATACGCTCACATCGCGATCGTAGCGCCCGCCATCTTGGCCTCCGCGCGACCGTCGCATTATCAATGCCGATAACAATAGTACTTATTACAACGTGACACCCTAACATAAATTTGTATTGTCTTATCACGAAAAAAAACTAAAGCCACGCTGACGACTGATAAAACGACTTCGCAACAAGATAATGCTGTTATATTACTGTTTGATCTCGTAACATCGCGAAATATTTTAATGAGGAATGTTGTAGGTGCTCACTCGTATTTGCTTAGCCGGGCGCGTGTTCTAAGTCCACTTACTACTCACACAGGCTGCGTAACAATTCGAAAATGGCGAACACTTATCGAATCGTAAAAAATAATACTCCAAAGAATTGTTGGGAACACGTGACAGTCTCGGCGACTTATGTGATTAGTTAGGATTGCAAACAATATTCCATTAGACGTATTATAAAGTTCTTCACGGCGGTTATGTAACGCACGCAGTATGATCGTAGATTTAATTGCGTCTAATACTCACGTTTTGCCAAATTCGTCACAATTATAATGTCGCGCGCTTAATATGGAATCCATACTCATTATATTATATGTTGCATACATTTTAAGGGTGTCTTTAGACCACGGTGTGGTGACGTTTGACCACAGCTGAGAGCTGTGCTTGTGTGAGTTCAGTCAGGCATATCTAGTAATAAAATTATAATTCCGATCCGGTTTCTTATTCGGTCGCAGATGGGCGTGGTGGCTGGTGACTGCCCGGCAACACGAACTACTTACAATGACGTAATGAACTGCCCATTTGAATGCTAAACACTAAGGAAGTGTCGTCTCTACAGGTTTTTTATAAGTTATTGTAGTGTAGGACTATGAGTGTATGACATTTACGTTTTACTCATGTTACTCGTAAATCAAATCATTCATTATCCTTATGGACGAGTCAAAGCTGTTCTATTGGCTGTTTGACTTCTATTATTCTTAAGTCGTAGCCGTCGTAAGTACTTACCTACATTTATGATTACTTGCATTTAATTATGAAGTAGAAACTTGTATAATTAGATAGACTAGACCTGTAGAATGAAAAGTAACTGTCGTCAGGTGGCCCTACCCTACGTTGCGTAGTCTAGGTAGTTGCGTGTACTAAGTTGCATAGAGTCAGGGTATCACTCACCCCGTCACACCCAGTCTGCTACTGAGAACAAAAGTGCTGTAAAACCTTTTTCGAAATTAAAAAGAAAATATAGTTTCACACTCGTGGTTTTACACACTTTAATTCGCTTAGGAATTCGCATGTTTAATGTTAATGAGCCTCCATACACACATGTCTCATTAATTGGGTAATAAAAAAATGGTTGCGTCACATTTTGTACGCATATGTACCGTCCATGAACTTCCGCCGGTGCGAACAGCACTCAAGGTCGCTCGCTGATGGTGGATCGATGCGCCATACGATAAATTACGAACGGTCTATTTTAGCCGACTACGAGTGGTTACCAGTAAACCAGATGACCGAGTTTTCTTAGTTGCGTAACACTACAGAAATAGTGGCTATCTGTCTGTATATTGATGCCTACGCGATTATTTGATACGTACCCGCGTATCGGCCCCTTATCATTGATAGTAGCGTACGATTTTCGTCGTAGGTACCTAATGTGTACGTAGTATTAGTAATGAGTTATTTTTATTTGTTGTTTCCCACGTCTACTGGGTGGTGAAAACAGTACCGTCATTATAATTTTGGGTTCGATAAGCATGACGTATTAAGTAATTAAGTTCAGTGGGAACATGAACACCATGATCAACATTAGCAATTGACTCAGTAAACTGGTACGAGCTACGTACTTCTAATTAGCATACACTTACATCAGTCATACAGATATACAATACAGGTTGTGCTAATTTTCGAAGATCCCTTTAAAATATTACTCACTTTAAATTTTGTTACTTTCAAGGTCGTTACACTCCATTAGGATTATCATTTTATCGCGACGACGAAATCGCTTCAGATTAAGTAAATAGGAAAATTTATGATAACGCAATACTATCGGAATTCGCGACTGCGATGCCTGACTTAAGTAAACGGTTATGTCCATAAAGGCTTCCATTGCATTACATGAAAAAAGGTTTTATTTATTTTTTAATTAAGCCGACATTACGAGCAGGCTGTATAAGATGGCGTGCGCCGCGTGCGCGTCACGATAATTTTTAATTATCGTGCTCAAATGCCAGTGAACTTGGCCTCAAGCCGTGGCCAGCGGAGCGTGTACTAGCCCCCGCCTCACCAGGTCATACTCGACGAAACCATTGTACTTAGTGTCTGCATTCCGTTTTCTAACGTCTTTACTTGTTTACATTCACTTGACAAACATTCCCCTGGCCAACAAGTGGTAATTCACACGGACATTTCGATTTTTACTACATTCCGGATCAAGGAGATGATAACTGCATTCTGTTTATCTCCTGTCGTTTTCCCAGTACACCATACTAAACAAAGTTGTCGTTCAATACTTTCTTCCTTGTTTAATTTGCAATTCAATTACAATTAGCTTTAATTACGACAAGAAACGTGAAACTGACAAAGTTATAGGGAAAATGTTTACAACGCTTTGTGACCAGGGAAACGCTGTACCGGTTTAAAATAACTGTCTACAAAGATCGCCGGCGATTAATAAGTTAGTCTGTTAAGTCTGCAGATCTATGACTCATTGTTTTCTCACGCTAAGGCTACCTAGAATTTGTGACTAATCAGGCTCTGCTAGTCCCTACCTAGCTAACAACGCTTATTCATTGTTTATCTTCGAAAATGAAAATTCAGCAAAGTTTTTATAAAGTTCGACGTCTTGGTTGTACAGTATCTAGACATGAAAACATATGGGCTAGTATAAGAGAGAGAGCTGGCGATTTTTTACCCCACCACTCGTATACCGGTCGGTCGGGCGAACAATAAAAAGCGGATTATCTCTGGTATAAAATTGGAACGGCGGCGGATCTGAGAATCGCGTCTCGAGTGATGGAGATATAATAGATATGCACTAGACCGGATCCCGGCGGGCGGCGCACCGCGACAATACCGGCCGTATCGCCTTACACGCAGATCTGAAACAAATACTCTCTCGGGCGACCGTTAATCGTGTTGGCGCCACGGAGAAAATCGTCACGTGAAAATTGACTCCCGCACAATAGCCGCCTACGCGTACTGTCAACGTTATTTTATTTACGTCTTTCACCCCGCGGTATTTCCTTTCGATTACACACTAATCTGTTTCACTGAACCCCTTCATTTTGTCACTTAGGTCTTTAGCTTTATTGTGCGTAAAATTCGACTAATAGTTTGGGGCCTAGTCAACGAAAATGTTTTCCAAATATGGAGATTCAGTCGGTGGTACCAGTATGGTGTATCCTAATAGGGTGTGTCTATGTGGCTCGATATAGCGCCAGCGATCTTACCCACGCCTAGATTTAGACGTAAGCGAGGCGTGTTTGACGACAGGCGCCGATCCTCGAATTAGATCTACGCGTAAGCGATAAGCGTCTGCGTAACTATGCGGAAACGTAGTAAAAAGATCTCGTTCGTGTATAAATTTATCGTCGCGCCGTTCGATAAATGTGTCTGATGAGCATTTTTCGCGCAAAACTGCGCAATTTAATGAACCTATTTAGCCGCGTCCCTGACTCGCCGTTTCGTAATCGAATCGGCCAGCTGCCCACGTAACTTGTTTCTATTTCTAGTACTTAAGCATTGGAGATTTAAACGGAAACTCTCGTCCTTGTTAGGTACATAAATAGCATTGCAAGCAACACGTTGTAGCTCGCAGCCGGTAACCTTTAATCACAATGAACCGCTGACATAATTATTTGTTGGTGTAACCGGATAGTGCAGGCGAACGGATTCCGCGAAACATGCACTACGACGTAAACACGAGTCGGACAAACGTCGACATCCGCACTTAGGTGCAACGCGATCGTGAAATGGAAGCCCGCACCTACATAGCTCATTCATAGAAGTCCACAATGCACTCTCAGCACTCGTATCGCTTCATTGCTGCACCGGACGGAATTTAGGCCGTTTCCGCAACGACCACTATTCGTATTACAATAAGCTTAGATGTAAGTACCTACACCACAGTAAAAAGTGGTGATATCCTGTTCATTTGGGAGTCGTATGCCTCTATGGTTGCGGTTCTAGAAAAGACAGGTATATTATATCAGTGAGGCGCCCGTGTTGAGGCGGTCTCGATGGACGCCATGCAACCCCGTACGTCTCACACATTACAAATACCAGGCGCAATGCAACGTGATCGATAGTGCAGCTTTTAACTCGGCGACTGAACCGGTCCTGCTGGTATGTCAGTTAGGAACGTGTAAACCAGCCGGCCGGCGTTATCGTGCAACTCTCACGTGACAGTTAATTTCGATCGATGCTTTTGTTAAATGGTGGCGGCGGAGGCCGGAAAGCGTGTCCACTGCTCGGTAATCCGGACTCCATTGAGTGCGGACGTTGCGTTGCGGCACCGCACCGCGCACGCGCTCTCGTTTTGGCGCGAATGGCGCGCCGTGACGTCAGGCGTCTGGATCGATGGCGGCAGACGCTGCGGTAGTACGACGGGGTCGACGCCCTCCCCCGCCGTACGCCGCCCCCACCCCCTCCCGCGCACCTGACCACTGCAGTCGCATCTCCCCAACTAGATCTAGCCCCCTACGATCGTATACAGATGTAGCTACGACAATCGACGCCCGCCTTTTATGGTGATGTGAGCGTAATGAAAGATATGAATGAAAGTATGCAAGCAATGAAACGACTCTACAAACTATTCCGTGACGGCTTTTTTTTTTCAAATTATGGGTCAATGTATTAAACGTATGTTCTCTTTGTTGCAGAGGAGGAAATAGACGTGGTCTCGCTTGGTACGCAGCAGCCGTTGCCTCCATCGCAATCTCACGTCCGGACGGACACTCTGCCACGCGTGCCCTCTGCGCAGGAGCGCCAACACATACAGCGCACCGTAGAGACTGCGATCACGCCGCGCTCGCCGCGGCCTGCAGCCAGGAAGCGTCTAGTACCGCCGCCAAGTATAGTGGCTGCGTCGTCTCGTCGCCGCGCCCGAGGTCCTGGCCGCCGTGGACGCCGCTCCAACACTGATACTGACTCTGAAGCGGAATCACCTGAGATCGAACGCCGCTCCATCCACAATGACATGGAGAGACTACGACGCATTGGTCTCAAGAATCTGTTTGATGAACTCAAAAAACAGATCCCGGCCACTAAAGACAAAGAGCGCGCGCCTAAAGTTGTCATACTGCGAGAAGCGGCCGCGCTCTGCAAAAAACTTAACTATGAAGACATCGAGAGGGAAAAGCTGAGGAAGAAGCAACTCCAACTTGTGACGAAGTTGAAAAAACTACGCTCTGCGCTCTCATCGCGCTACGGACGAAACTGAGCGCGCCGCGCTACTGACTGGTAATCAATTTGTTCCAACCGAGGGACTGTACATAGCCCACTCGACTGGACACTTATGGACTGTCAACTTTTTATGTAAGTCGCGCTTCTCAACGCTCTAGTGAACGTTAGGAACAGTTTATCCACGATGTGGTAGCACACTTGCGACCCCGTCCGTTCGGCCGGTAACTCCCTTGCCGTTTTGATTGCAAAAATGTTTTCAGTCGAGTCGGTGTTCGGGAGTTTGTTATATTTCAAAGAAATTCAGCTTTTACGGCTTACTCTGCTTCTGGCAAGGTCTCGGGAGTATAATTGTGACACTAACCGCCAGGTTTGTTTTGCTCAAAACGATATTTTGCAGTGCCAAAGTGAGCCATAAAACTGTTGTTAACGACAAATCCTAGGTCTTCAGTAAAATATCTTAATAGTTACAGACTGCTTCGTGAACTAGTAGACTGGTTTATACCTCTAAAATGTTTTTTGAATTTATCATTAAAGTATACATAGTTGAAATAGCACATACAGATTTACTCAGTGTTGACAGATCGAAAATGATATGACATTTGTTAAAATATTGTTTCGAGACGTTGATATGAAGATTTTTTACTGGACCTTCCATTAAATAGTTAAGTATTTTAAAGGAGCATGAATTTGTCAGTGCTGTAAATATAATGAGATCGTGCAGGTAGTTGAAAGCTTTGTCAGAGGTGGTCAAGCGCTTGTGAGCAGACTGGAGATGTATGGCCACTATATATGTTTTCGGCCCGATTCGCAGGATTTTCAATTTTAACCTTTGACTCGCATGAGTGAGGTATGTGAAGTGATACATCAATTACTATTACTTTTAATTGCTTTAAGTAAACTATTATTTTAACTGCTTTAAGTAAATTGCATTTTAGGATAGGCGAGCTTGTTTAATTAGTTTATTTTTGTTATTTTGTAAATTTTTAACACTTATTGTTTTTTACGTTAGAAATGCCCTATTAACTCGGTACCAATCTTCGTTAATTTGGAATCGTTTGATAAATTTTGGGTCGTTTTAAATCGATAATGTTTTGTACAATAATAGAATGATTCACACACAGCTTCCATTATGAGATGATTCATACGATTTTATGTGTAATGTATATGCAATTTTATATCATGATAAACTACATCGACGATAGCATGCGATTGTGGTAACGGCTTTCTAAAGCGACTTTTTAATAAGAAGTAACTACATAGTGCCCTTTGGGGGCTTCTATCCTTTTGATAGCGTTTTAAATGCGAACCATTCGCGAAGATTTTATTTTCTTGATGTTGAAATTAGACCGTTCCTGTTCTTTGTTCACTATCGCGTCTTGGTACGGATTTATGTTCACAACGGTACTCATTAAAATACTCTGGCAGCCTTTATACTTATTACCACATTGCTCTGGTACATTCTCATAGTATAGTATTTTCGAAGATTTCTCCATTAATAAATATCACGGCAATGAGCACGCTCCCCAATTACATGGGGCCTATTCTAGCCTAACAGCCTCTTCTTTCGGGGAATGAGCGGCTTTTTGTCATGTTTCGTAAATATTTAACTTTGATTTGTTAAAATAGTTGTGGACAGACCATTTGTACCTACGTGTGAACGGAACAGACACATGAGCTTGCTATCCGACAGTGTAGTTTCCCTTCATTTTACGATCATCGTACCTTATTATAATTATAAACATTATTATAATGTTAAGCCGTTTAGAATATTGAAATCAATATTAAATCATTCACATGTTGGGATTACAATAGAAACACCATATTTCATATGATTTATGACATTAAGGTAATATGTTTTTATGTAAATTGTATAATCTCAGCGACAGTCATCGATTCGTAAGAAATTAATAGACTGTGTATTTTGATAATAACATCAAGTCTTATATACCATATAATATGACGGTCCGAAGAGGATCGATTAAAAAAATAACCAAGACATAGTTCCTCATAGTACCTACTAATAGTAAATTTTGCATTTTTTTTCTTTATATTTTTTTATTAATGCAGGTAAGTTAGTAAAGTACTCGCAATAGTTGGTTTTTACTGAATATCACAACCTGATCAGAATAATAAAGCGCCAAAATTGTGCAGAAGTGAACTCGAGCCGGTGTTGATTGTTTCGGTGTAGCTGCGACTTTATTCTACTGGTCAGGTTGCCGAAGGTTGATGTTTTATCAAGCACAGGTCAGCGACGTGAGTGTGAAGGCTTTAATTGTGTGAGGAATGTGCCTTGCTATGTTCATGTATATATATATATTAGGTTTATACTCGAATTAGTTGCAAGACATATTTTTTGTGAACGATGTCTACGATTAGAATAGCGCTGTTCTAGGTAGTGTACATACACAGACAAGAGTTATTGATATTAAAGAAGTTTATCTTATCTTCCACTAGGTGATTAATTGTACATACAATTGTAATGGTAATACTAAGTATAATTATACTTTGATCAATCTTTTTTTACTAACGAGTCTTTTTCCTAGTAATCGTTTAGTTTTCTTAACTGGAGAGTTACGGATCCTCGAATGTTGTACCTGCATTTATTTTTTTTTTGTTAATTCATATCTTGACATAATTAAATAAAGATAATAATGGTTTTAGTTATCCAAAATGTAATCGGTTGCTTTGGTGATATGACCAGTGTAATTAGACACTTAAGAAAAAGTCAGTAGTTAAATGTTAATAGTAAGAAATGACAGCTTTATAAAAATCGGAGACAGAATGTAAGTGTTGACAAGTGTAGGACGAGCACGTTATTGTGAACACTATTGTGACAAGGCACATTTCCACCACTGCCAAAATGGAAAGGAATTATTGATAAGTTTAGGTTGAACTGTATATAGTTTAGGTCGGGTTATAAAATTATAAGTCCTGTTATATGTAAAAGATTTCCTTTTATTCTTTGTGTAGTATCCGTATGTAAACACCTAGCCGCCGCCGGCAGCCCCCGGTGTAGTTATTGTGACGAGAGGCCGCGAGCCGGCGGGGTGCGCGCGCGCCGTTACAGGGAATGCAGGGCGCAACATAGATTCCGCCTAATATTAATATTGCACTCTGCAATCTTTGAAGCGACGCTCTTATGTCTAAGGACCTTTGTACTTATACGACTAATTTTTTGGGATACTATTGTAACACAGAGATAGTTTTTTTTTGGTTTTGTTCCTTTATGTGTATGGAAACACTGATACATTGTATTGCATTGACTATACATATTAAACGCTTACGTCGGATCCGGAGAGAGCTTGGGAACAGTGGGCTAATTAATGTGATTTTTATACTTATTCGCTGTAATTTGGGATAAATAAAATCATTGTATTGTATAGTATAGATTCTGTGATTATGTACCTGTGGGGTACGTTTGGGTTTCCATAGCCCTATCTGGTCTGACTTAATAAAAAAAAACATTTGACTTTTGATTTTTATTCTATTTTCCTTATTTATTCAATTACCCTTCACCGAATAAATGAATATGCCATATTAAAGTTAAATAGAAACAAAACTATACGTTAACACCACACACACACACACACACACACACACACATAACACAAATTAAATTATAGTAAAAACGAATGGCATTATCTTTGAAAACTACTGAAATACAGATTAAAAATATCTAGAATGAAGACTATGAAAATGCTTATGATGCCTAAGATAACTTAGTAATAAATTGAAATGGAGGCTTCATAAAGCTCAAAGAAAGTACTGATACGAATATTTCATAACACTTATCCTCCTATGGGGTTGGCAGAGTGAATATAAGTAACAACTACCTACTTGTTACACCCAGTTATGTGGTGGTCGCATGTAATAGAAAAACTTGCTATTAAATACAGAGGACTTTCAAAATGACTACACGGTTGGCACGGTAGTTAGGCAACTGGCTGCCGCGCAATGTGTCGCGGGTTCGATTCCCATACGGAACAACTCTTTGTCTGATCCACAGAATGTTGTTCCGGGTCTGGGTGTCATGTGTATGTGAACTTCTATGTTTGTAAACGCACCCACGACACAGGAGAAAATCCAAGTATGGGGCAATGTTTTGTAAAAAAAAACAACTAAGTGCAAAATAAGTAATAGTTTATTTGATCCGGAAATCGAACTTGAGACTATTGGGTTGAGTGAGCAGTCGCGCTTTCGACCACTAGGTCGTCGAAGCAGTCAGAACTACGATATCTTTGGACAAGAAGAAATATCGTAAGTAGGTATGTGTTGAAAAATTTTAACTATGACCTTGGAAAAATCTACACTCAACATTTCGTAAGATGTTTTACCAGTTAATATTGACCAGAGGCCATAGGGATACCAAGAAATAAATGGGCACTTATTTAATTTTAAAGTTACACATAGGTACAACATAACATCATAACTTTTATCCCCGAAGGGGTAGGCAGAGGTGCATATTACGGCACATGCCACTGTCCAATGTAACACCCACTTTTCACTATTTATGATATGAGTCCCATGTAATATGGAGTGAGCCTATTGCCATATACCGCCTATACCGGGCACAATTTTTAATTTTAACGTTTACTTTTATAAATAATCCAGACAAAAAGACATTAATGAAGTCACAGTAAATAAATATCTCTTAAAAGTGAGTTGGAAGTGTGCCCGATATATTATGGTTGATAGTTATGTACTTGTTAGCTAGGTACTTAAACACTGACTGTCGTTGGATTGACGTCAAAGCCTTTAGTCCGACTTTCTTGAACTATAGGTTTTATGGAGGCTGAGTCACCTTCGTCCGTAGGAGAGCACCCCAAAATCAATATCCCTACACGTGGCCTCTGGGTGGTGCTAACCAGGTGACACTTTGGTGGTAGGCTTCGGCCGCCGGCTTTATGACCACCCATCGAGCAAAAGCGTGTCGCCAAGCGGCCCAGCCGTGTTCCGCCACGATGCTCGGTGACGCCGTATGAGTGGATGGGTCGAGATGGTTGTTCCACTGTAGGATAGCCGGTCTGGCGCGCGCTGGTGTAGCTACACCGGGTGTCCAGTCGCGGAGGGTAGCGGGATCCGAGGCACGGTGCACCGCTGGCCGACCGCAGATAGTTGGGGGCCCAACTAGCGTGCTAGCCACACGTGAAAGGCTGCCCCGCCATCTAGCGAAAAATCCCATGGATACGCCATCGTGCCGGTTGGCGACCGGAGGAGAGGGCCCGATGGATATTCGTGGGGGGGCTCGGGCGTCCCCGCAGTCTCCAGACTGGCCTCCCAATGGTGTGGTTAACTACGGTGCGCGTCGTGGGGTCGCCTGCGTGGGGGACCATTTCACTGCCATCCTCTCAGCAACCTTCCACTCTACATTATGACACTGAGAAATAAGAAAAGGGTTCAACAGCGGCTGCACTCCCTCTCCTACATAGTGCACCTCTCAAATATTCGAGGTTTGCACTCTAATGTCAATGCGGTCCATCACCACCTCGAGACCGAGAACCCTACACTCTTGTTTCTCTCGGAGACCCAGATCAGGTGCCCGTCGGACGTATCCTACCTGAACTACCCTGGTTTTTCCCTGGAGCACAATTTTGTTCCGCATGCAGGTGTATGCGTATACGTCCGAGACGGCATCTGTTACCGGCGTCTCCGAAACCTTGAAGACCCAAGCTTTTCTGCTCTCTGGATACTGGTGGACATAGGCATGGAGAAAATTCTTTATGCCTGTGTCTATCGGTCGCACAGTGGAGATTTGGAGGCGACCAGATTAGCGCAATACCTCGGCGAAGCGGCGGATGCGGCTCGTCAGGCGTACCCTTCGGTCCAGTTGGTGTTACTGGGGGACTTTAACGCTCATCATCAGGAGTGGTTATTCCCATACCAGTGCACCGACCATGCTGGAAGGGAAATGCGTAAGCTTGCGCTTTCGCTTGGCCTGACCCAGCTGGTCCAGGAAGCCACAAGGGTGCCCGATGTCGATACGCACACTGCCAATTGCTTAGACCTTCTGCTGACAACTGATCCAGACCGCTACTCGGTGACAGTCTCTTCACCTCTAGGTAGCTCTGACCACTGTCTGGTGAAATCTGTATCGACACACTCCCCACCAGATCCGAGTCCCAAAGGACCTCGGCGGATGTGGCGATACAAGTCAGCGGACTGGGATGGGATGCGATCTTTTTTCGCTTCCTATCCTTGGCGGCCTGTCTGCTTCTCTTCTGATGACCCGTCAGCTTGTGCGGAAGCCGTAACGGGGGTGCTGCGCCAGGGCATGGAATACTACATTCCATTCTCGGGCGTGGCTTCCTCTGGTGGGACCCGTCCTTGGTTCGATGCCGACTGCGGACGTGCCGAAGCGCAAAAGCAGGCGGCATACTTGGCATGGGCGGATGCCAGGCGCCGTAGGGCTGATGACATTCATCAAAAGAAGAGAGCCTTTAATCGGGCTGCCAAGTCATGCAAAAAGGCATTACGGATGGCTCGATTTAACCACATTGGCCGTATAGGGAACAAACTAGCTTCCTACCCAGCGGGAAGTAAAGCTTTTTGGTCCCTGGCCAAGGCGGTTGAATCGAACTTCTGTCGCTCCTCACTTCCTCCGCTCCTGAGGTCTGACGGGACGCTGGCTCACACTGCGGTAGAGAAAGCAAATCTATTTGCTTCTCTATTTGCGGAGTCTTCGCGTCTTGACACTGGTGGCGCCTTGCCTCCTTCTGTTAATAGCGTATGCAAGACGAATATGTCGCAAATTCGCATTCGACAGAGGGAGGTATATAGGACGCTACGCGATCTGGACGTGAACAAGGCCAGTGGTCCCGACGGAATCCCAGCCCTGGTTTTAAAAACCTGTGCGCCTGAGTTGTCTCCAATCTTGACACGTCTGTTTCGCCTTTCCTTGGAGACGGGTCTAGTACCGGTTGCTTGGAAGCTGGCCAACGTACAGCCTGTGCCTAAAAAAGGTAGTCGTGCCGACCCTAACAATTACCGCCCTATTTCGGTCACGTCCATACTCTGCAAGAGCATGGAACGTGTTCTTAACAATAGACTCCTGGCATACCTTGAAGGTAACGATCTCCTCAGCGATCGGCAATACGGGTTTCGACGTAACCGATCGACTGGGGACCTTCTTGCGTATGCCACTCACATATGGAGCGAGGCCATAGAGGGGCACGGAGAGGCACTAGCAGTCTCCCTCGATATTTCGAAGGCCTTTGACAGGGTATGGCACGACAGTCTAATCGGCAAGCTTCCTGCATATGGACTTCCTACTGGTCTGTGCAGATGGATAGCAGACTTTCTGAGGGATCGGTCAATACGAGTAGTCATCGATGGCTGCTCGTCTGACCAATTCGGTATTAATGCCGGCGTCCCTCAGGGGTCAGTACTTTCAGCGACGCTCTTTTTGCTGCACATAAACGACCTGCTTAAGCCCGGTATCTTTGGGTATGCAGATGACAGCACAGTTGTTGAAAGGTATGTGTCCGGTGCGCGGACTAGCGGAACACAGATCCAGTCTTTAAGAGAATCCATGGTCGAACGTTTGAACTCGACCTTGAAGGCGGTGTCCGACTGGGGTGACGCCAACTTGGTTAGGTTCAATGCTAGCAAGACCCAGGCGTGTCTATTCTCCGCCAAACGGAGTCAATTTCCGCTGACTCCTACTTTCCGGAATGTATCCGTACCGATAACCGATCGTCTTGAGCTTCTTGGTGTAACTCTGACGCCCACGCTCAACTTTGGCTCCTATATAGAGTCAAAAGCGCAACTGGCTGGTAGGAAGTTGGGTGTCCTTTGGAGGGTGAGACGGTACTTCACGCCGAAACAATTGCTGAGCCTGTACCAAGCACAGGTTCGGTCCTGTATGGAGTACTGCTCTCATCTTTGGGACGGCTCGGCTAAATATCAGCTGGACGCGTTAGAGCACATTGAGAGGCGTGCCAGGAGGCTCATCGGCGATGATGCGCTTGTGAAGGCTCGGCTTCAAAGCCTCGAACACAGGCGTAAGGTTGCAAGCCTTTCGGTTTTCTACCGGATACATTTCGGGGAGTGTGCGGGGGAATTGCACAACTTGATTCCCCCTAGTCCTTTCCATCATCGTACCACAAGACAATCCGCGAAGCGTCACCGATTCATGGTAGATGTTCCGCCCACACGCACGAAGCGCTTTGCTTCAAGCTTCCTTGTGCGTACTGCTAAAGAGTGGAATTCTTTGCCAGAGTCTGTATTTCCTGAAGGGTATAACCTGGGAGTCTTCAAGGCCCGAGTGAATAGGTTGCTTATGGGACGACGTGCTCCAACGTAGACCGCATCATCGCTTACCAACAGGTGAGATAGTGGTCAAACGTCGCCCCATCAATTATAAAAAAAAAAAAAAAAAAAAAAAAAGGTTAGTAGCTATCATTAAAGTGAAAGAAGAAAGTCCATATTATTGTGTATGTGTAATGAATCTAATACATTATTGCAGCATGT